TGCTTCCTCTCTGGGCTGCAAATGCCGCACAAATTCATTGTAATTGATGTCCAATGTTCTGCTTGAAATAGTACTCGGACGCCTTTCGTGCACCGCAGAACCACCTGAACAACCAAGACCGCATGAATAAACTGGCAGCTACTTATTTACAAGATACCAACTCAGTGTTTTCAATGACAACTTAAATATTCTTGGGTTAGATTTACTTTGCGCAGCGAAGCACCATTTTTAATATATGTTCTTTTAGCATGCCGAATGGGTGCATTTTTCTTATATAGATCCTAACCACACCAAGAGTTCTTCAAATGTTCTTCGGAAATGTAAAAAGTGCTTGTTTTTTGATGGTAGAAGAAAAGAGTACAGTGCAGAGTAAAACAGAAAAGCTACCAATTATTTCGATGAGTAAAACGACCATAGCGGTGAAACAGTATTGCTTAAAGTCAAGCAAGATAAGTTTATCTTGCCAAAAAATATCATCTATAAAACCAGAGCCAAGCAGTGAAGAAGTATGTCTGTTTCTCCTACTCGCTCTCCTCTCCTTTTTCTTTCTTCCGCTGCAGAAAAGCTGTGCGTCGATGAAAACTGTGCTTTTTTGATCATAAAAGAAAAAGAGAAGACAGAACAGTTAATGAGAAAAATTTTTGGGAATTTGGTCGTAGAAACCGGAAATTGTTTCCGATATTGAAGCAAAGCTACCAACGCAACAATTCGGAGTGCACCTCATCATCACAACGACATTATACACAGATTTTACAAGAGAAAAGCTTCGATGTGGGTAAATTAATATGGCGCGAACTATCTAACGAAGGCCTGCGGCAGTAAAGTACAGCTTAGAATCAAACTGCTAAAGTAACTGAGATATTCTCAAACACCAAAAACGATGGGGATGCTCATTTTAGGCTCAAAAAAGGTCAAAAATCACTTGCTTTAATATACCCTTTCAGTAGAATTTCCAAAAAATGAGCTAAATTCGAATTGGGGGTATGAGTGCGATCTTCCAAGCCATCCCATAATCACGCAAAATGTGACTAGAAAAATTACCTGAGTATGGATTATTTACCGAACTTGCAGTACCTATATTTTTACTGCACAGATCGCGTAAGAAGGAACGAAAATCGAAGCACAACAGACGCATCTGCAAAATACAATTTTTTGAAATTAAGTGGACAGACGCCAAAGTGTGCAGCTGACCGACCATATTGTGATCGAAGCAAATGTAAGGCGCCAGAGCAAATAAAAGAAGTAATAGTCAATAACAAGCGGGTTAAAAGAACTAGATGAGTCAGGATATCCTGGGATATGTTTTGCTATCCCCAGATGCTGGAAAATTCCTGAAAGCAATGTTTCCGCAGCTGTCGGCACAACTTCGCACAGCAGCGGTTTTTGATCCACCAGTTCTATTGGATAACTAGGAAAAAAACTTGCCGCGAATATTTGGCGCCTTCTTTGCTGCCTTGTAGCCCCGTTGGTAGGTCTTGGCGAGCCATGGAGTGACTGCTGATCTACCACAAACACCTCCTGGAAATTGAATAGAAATTTAAATTTGGATAATATCGTGAGTTTGGAAACGGTTCTCATTAAGGCTCAAGGCAACGAATGCATCGACAAGCGACGGTATCGGCAGACCCAGGTCAGCAGATTAGTTCCTCAAAATCAGCCGGTCGTACAGAGAAAGTTGTTTTCATATTTCGTTATTAGAAAGAACCTTTTTGCTTCTTCGGTCTTTACAGTTATCTGAAGCATTACACCCATTGGTTCTGAGGAAGATGAGAAATGTGTGATGCCCATCGAATTTTACTTTCTCGCACGGTCGTGATCAATTTCCGCCTTTTACCTCTTGTCCCACATCGGGTTTCTGATTGCTTATATAGTCACAAAAAGCACCAGTCCAAGTGCTTGTTGTTACATCGTTCTCTTCACAAACAGTGTCCGTCTTTTAGCTTTCACCAGTACACCTCTCACATACGCTGTTTGTTGTTTTCACCCTGGGAATAGCGAGGTGACAGCTTCCGCTTGGTATCCTGCCCGGACTGGGCACTGCTTAGCCAGCTGCCACTTCCACATCATGATGGCATGCCTGGATCGAGATTCTGGAAGCTTAAAGCAATTATTATATTTTATTATTACTTCGTGAAATGCGCGCCAATCGAGGTATATCTTCAAGTGGAATGAAATGGTAACAACC